AGCATGAGAGTAAGAACCCGAGCAAAGTCCAGCATCAAAATGACAGCAAATTGAAATCAAGTTTTAATTTCAACATCATAATTTGATTTCAGTTTACGCAATGGACAAATTTGATACAAAATTTTGTTTTCATTTTGCTGTACATTTGCTCTTCAAAAATATTTTGTTGCAGGTTTGTTTTCATTGCCTTAGCATAACATCAAATTGAATACTTGTTTTGTTATCAACAGGAAAAATTGATATCAAATTTAGTTTTCAGTTTGCTTTCACTGATAGCAGAAATAGTTTTCAATGTGATGTCACAGGAAGATTTGTTTGCTCTCAATTTTGATATTAACCGTTAAAACGATCAAAACTAACGACAGAAACTTGAGTAATCGTTATCAGCGAAATCACAACATCAAATTTAGATTTCAATTTGATCTCAGACTTTGCTCGGGAATACAAACAGACTGTCGCGCACGACAACGAAGCGAGTGTAGTAAAAAACGTCAACAGTTTCAATCCCTGATTGGTATATGCCATTCGTCTCTCCAGGTCTTGGAACGAAATTGTGTTTTTTTAGAAGTGCTTATTTCATATGTACATCGAGCCATACGAGCAGCGCCTATCTTGATTACATTGGCAGTGTTGCTGATGCCCGAGCAAAGTAAAATATCAAATTGATAACAAGTTCTATTACCCGGTTATCACTTTTTTATAACTGAATATGTTATCATTATGGTTGAATTAACAGCCAACATAGCAAAAATGATAACAAAAAACTGCTCGTTGGATATCACAAAAATAACTAATTTTGTTATCATTGATAATATCTTGATAACAAATTCTGTAAGCCATACAAATTTATTCCATAAATTTCAAATCATGCTATCATTTTGCTATCAAAGCCTCACGCTGATAACTGAAATATGATTAGGGATTAAAAGCACTATTTTTTATTGTTTCAATGCGAATAATATTTAAAGTTTTGAACTAAGTTTGCATCGTTAATAAATATATAGTGAATTTTTCATGATAACAACTGATAACAAAATTGATCAATGCTGATAACTTAATAAGTTATGCGATAACAACTGAAAACAACATGATATCTGGGATAACAAGACTTGTTATCTAGATGATATCGGGTTGTTATTCTACTTTGCTCCGGGACCCTCTCATAGTCGGCATGCTTCAATCAGATTTATTTTTATTGTTCGTGAAGTAACCCACAATGAAAACACACCAATATTTAATGTAACAACAATTTTTATTGTAATAGAGTTGTTCATTATTGTTCGTGATCGAATCATGTTAACAATAAAATAAATGAAAAAAAAAAATAAAAATCATTGTAACAACATTTATACATAACACATTCATTGTACAGATAGGTAGCAGTTTTGCCGTTTTCGGAAGGGTACAACATTATAACAATCATTTTTATTGTCGACAATAAATATTAATGTCAGAGCATTGTTTCCACTGAAAATTTCAGCGTTAATTTCTTTCCGGGCAATTACAGACATTTCTGAAATTCACAGACATTTTTCGCAGACTTCTGAAAAAATATCTGAAATCTCTGGTTATCAATGTTTTGCTGTTAGTTGCATGTCGAAATTTCGTTTGAAAATAAGGAAAGTTCTCTCAAAAGTTTTTTTTTTTAATTTTAAGTTAAGCATCACCCTGAATTATAATGGACCCTAAAGATAAAGGTATGTAAATATGTTGTACCCAAGAAGCCTGAATTTGCTGACCAGGGGCGCTAGCCAATTCAAATTTAGGGTTTATTTTTTTTCTGTTTCCGTGAACGCGTATATCAGGGGCGCTAGCCACTTTAAATTTAACGATTTTGATCAATTTTTCCCTTAGGTGTAATAGGATGCTTTGTTGATTGTTCATTAACTCTTGATCACTTGTAATACTTATGCATATTTTAGGTGGACAAAAAGGCGAACTAAAAGGTGGACGCCTAAGCTTTTTCACATTTATATCGCTGTAAAGCAACTGTAAACTCTAGAGGGAATTTATATTTGTAACTGTAACCAGTTCGTATTTTTTTTTTTTTGCTAACCTGCATTGGTGCTCAGCACGGAAAACAAGATCGACGGAAAACAAATCAAGGAAAAAAGTGTTTTTCAACTTGAAGAAACTCACCAAATCTATACATGATAGATGTCCAATGGTGCAGATTCATGCATTATGATTTCAAATTGTACCACCGACAAACCAACATGAATGACCATCATTTCGCGCATATTTTCCTCCAGCTGATTCTAGCCACACAATAATAGATATGGTTTACTTTCCATCGTTATCATTTTCATTTATAATATAACCATAGAGGTAACTTTAAGACCAGAAGGTCCCGAAGAAACGTGCTCAACTTTTTGGCTCAGCTCTGGTACTATCTTCGGTCCCAAGCTAATCGATGCACCCCTCGAAACATAGGAAAATCCATGAACCCCTCATTTTATCTGTCAAACTTTCATAGCGAATCACAACAAACTAGAAACACTGGAATCTGGTCTCTGGGAGAAAAAAAAACATGAAATTGGCAACAATATAAACATCAAAGCAATCCTGGCATCACGTGCATTTGTAACTGCTTGCGAGTGACTTCGCAAATGCACCGACGAGCGAGTTCATGAGTGATTGTTAAACGATTTTAATACTTCTCCCTAATTGAAGCAAACCATTTGTAAACATTGCAGATTGGAACCGCTTTTGACAGTTTGATTGGAATCATAACAGTGTCTCCGCTGGTCTCTTATTCCAGTGTTTCTACAACAAACATAGTGTAGTAATAGAATTTCGACTAGAATGGGGTACGCTTATAAGTGTACTTGGGACCAATAGGCTAGTCAATTTAAAATCGTATATTCCACCGGTAGATATAACCTCGGATATTACGACCAGCCGAACTAGTAAAAATATTCAAAATGCGATAGGATAAATGACGGCCTAGACATCACCTCCACCTACCATCGTCTGGGTGGCAAACGAAATCTCTAATCGCTCATTTTCTACATGAGGATACAACATGTTTCGGAAAAGCGGTTGGCCAAAATTGAGCGCTCAAGAACTCACACACAGGTATAGGAACTTAGAAAACTATGCACTATTTATTTGACACAGTTCTACAAAATATTGTAAATTTATGTTACTATGATGTACATAAATGGAGCTTCATACACACTTGGAAATAACTAATTTTACACGTAACGGAATCCATCTTTGACATAAAGGATCAGACGTAAATAAATATTTAATGTAAAATTAAGTGCTCCGAGACTGAAAAGTTTGTTACTCGACGAAAAGTACGTTTGATTGAGTGAAATTTCGCGTCTGTTATGACTCAATTCTATGTCAAAATGGACACTCGTATATGGCAGTCTCAGAGCACTTAAGTTTACATGATTTTTTCTAAGTGTGTATATCATACAAGTTTTCACAATAGATCTTCATTTCATGAAATATTCCATATATTGTATGCAACAAGCCATCTTTGTAAGCATCCTTTCTTACAAGTTGATAGTTTACGTGAAAAGAAAGTTTACATGTATGAATGGTTGCATGCATTGATGTTTGCATCACCAGTAAAATTCAGAATTTTTTTCTGTTTAATTAATAATTCCATCTTATACCCCTTCAGACTATGGCTTATATCATTTAATATATGATCTTGTAATGAGCACTCACACATAGGATTTCCAGTGAAAACTAGATGTATGAGTGCTCCTTGCAAGACAGTCTATATTACATGATATAAGCCATAGTGTGAACGGGGTATTACACTTTTCTATGGAACCGCCACTGCATGGCTACTGTGTTACCTGATGCATATCGAACAGCCGAGCGATCACGGAAACAACTCATCTACTTAATACCCCGTTCACATTACAGCGTATATCACGTGATATACACTGTCTTGCAATGAGCAGTCATACATCTAGTTTTCACTGGAAATCCTATGTATGAGTGCTCAATGCAAGACAGCCTATATTACGTGATATAGGCTGTAATGTGAACGGGGTATAACATAGCATGCACAATTAGGCGAGTTTATGCTCCCCGGATACAACGTATATTCGTTATAAGTCAGGTGACACTTTTTAATGACGATAATCCCGGACGAAACAGTACACAAACTTCATTTATGATGGTTCAAAGCGATGTGAGAGTACACAGCAAAAAAATAATTTTGATATCACGTCAAAGTGGATGCACTACAATCATGTCGAAAATATGGTGTAATATTACTTGCTAAAAAGGACAAAATTATTATTAATACAATGCATGAACTGACATTACGCTGCTGTTACTGCATTTGTTTATTTATGTGGTCATAAAAATTACATGAAATTTTCGACATGATTGTAGTGCATCCACTTTGATGTGATATCAAAATTATTTTTTTGCTGTGTAGCAACGAGGTTTTCCTTAGCAATATAGTTGTTTATGTTTTAATTTCGAAGAGTTTGACAGAATTGGTTCCTCCGATAGTCCGACCACGATGTTGCCTGCTTAACAAGGGGAAACTGTACAGCAATACTAATCACTAACAACTTCCCCTTTTGATTTTTGTTCTCCATCCTCATACATTCAAAGCACTGTGCCTGTGTGACGCGACAACGCATCTGGAAACAGTTCTAACTTTGCTGTTTATGGACCAATTTTAGCCATAATTTGGGATGTTATGGACCTCAATGTGCACTAAGAAAATCTCAAGTACATATCAAAATGATAGGACTTAACTTCACTTGTCATCATAGTCGCTTTATGTACAGAGGTGTAACCAGGGAACCTCAACGAATAAATCTTATGCCATTTATGATTCTAGGTTGGGCCTTTTCTGTAAGTCCCAGCATGTTTGATAGGATCAGAATCTAAGCGAACCTAAGGCCCAAATCAGAGATGTTAAAAGCCACGAAGAATAAAAAGAAGGAAGCAATATACAACAAAACCATGGATGTTTTACAGATACATCAAAGAAGAACTACAGGAGCTAGCGTACGTTTCAATTTGTATCACCTTGTTTATTTTTCTTCCATTCAAAATGCTATCACAATTGGTACGTTCAAAAAGCCGGCAATCTGTTGTAAAGTTGTACAAATCATTGTTACTTAACAATTCTTTTAAATTCATAAAAAAAAACTATTTCTATGCCAAATCCACAATCCCTTGATAATGTTAGTCTCTGAAGTATTGGTTTATGCTAGGTCATGCCAATATAATAGGTTTTCCAATGAAACAGTTCTAATTGAAGCACAGCCTCATTTTGTTTTGTTTTCTGTATTGATTTGTTGCTGATCTTTTATTATGTGTCAGTAGAAAGATTGCTATCTAAGGTAATTTCACCAATTTTCCATTCAAAATTGATCTCACGTATTGCTCCCATCATCACAATGATTTGGTGTACGATTTGTAAATCATTAAATCTAAACCCCTTCACTAGAAAACTATTCTCGAGTAATAACTTTGTATAATGTTGAAAATATTTAAAAAATAACATTATCTTTGCTACGATTCTGAGCTAGATATTTCCTTATCTAGTAGTTTTGAGCTTCCATCGCAGGAACAGGAATGCGGCAATTCTAAGCACTACAAATATGACGACTAAGGCTACAATATCCAAGGTGAAGTTGGCGTCAAGCATGTCAAGTTCCTCGAGAGTAGTCGTTGGCGATTTGAAGTGACAGTACACCTGGTGGCACTTGAGCTTTTCGCGCCCGTAGGAGTAGGTAGCCAGGGCAGTTCCCTCGAATCCATACCGGATGTACGACAGGTAGGTAATCCACCGAAGATAGATTGGAATGGCGTCAAACGAGACGAAGAACCCAGAGAACAGCAGGAATGGAACCGACATAACTGGAGCGAGGAACACACCGTTTTGAACGTTCATAGCGGCACCGACAACCAGACCAACACTCTGTGCAACGAAGGAAATCAGCAAACAGGATCCCAGGAACATTGCGAAACGGAACCATTCGAGCGGCTGGGACGTGAAGTAATACACGATCGATACGTAGAAAACGCAGAAGATAGCCTGGGGAGAAAAAATAGATCATGTATTTCCATACTCCAGGATGCTGACTCAGACTATAACTGTCAATGATGATGCTTACTTGGAATGGAATGTCTGATACCGTTATCGCTAGGTAGTATGATCGTAAAGAGTACCATCGATTAAAGTTTTCCTTTAGCAAGACAGGCATCTCGAGAGGGACTGAAATGGAAGTATAATTTAGTACGATTTAATCCGATATAGTCTCTTGTCAATCCGTAATTCTTACAAGACAAAATCGTAATCGTCATGGATGTGTACATCAGGAACAGCATGTTAAAGAACAGGAATCCCAAATTACTCAGTACCTTAGCACCGTCATTGCCGATATCATAGTACAGCGCACCAATCAGGAAACCAACCAGTATATGTGCGAACAAACGAAGGTACATGAGAGTCTGAAAAAAGTGGCGTAACATTTAGATAAATAAAATTAATCAAGCAATTCGAAGTTTACCCAATCACGTCTACTGAAAAGCAACGTCCGTTTCAACACAACCCAGAATTGATGGAATTCGGAGGTAGGATATCGCTCTGGAGATAGTCCCGCATCCAACTGGCCGTCGATTGGCAGGAGAGCTGAATTCACCTCGGGTTCCTTCTCCGGTTCAACGTTAATTTTGATTGATTCGGTGGTAGTTTCCTTAGCAATATCGTTGACCATAGACGATGGCAGAAGTCCATTTCCTCCAATGTTCAAATTATCGGCGTATTTGTTGTTGCTTCCGTTCAGCTTATCATAGTTTGACTTGAGGTTGGCGTTGGCGTTTCCATTTTCATTCTTCTTGTTCTTTAACGCTGGGAAATCCAGCTCTCCTCTGATGTCACGTTTTCCATTGTCAATAGCATTGACTAGTTTGCGCGTATGGTCTCCGTGCTCGCCACAAGCCACTTCAATGATGTAGCTGGCCGGATTGTGATACGATGGGCATTCCAGATCGAGCGTGCCGAGGAATGGTACCAACTGTTTGGTATTTCCCTGGTACACGCACTGTCCATCGGCAAGGGTGTACAGTTGATCGAACATTTCGAACAAACGAGCCGAAGGTTGATGAATGGTGCAGATGATTGTTCGGCCACCTCGCGCCAGGAACTTCAACAGGCTCACGCACTGGAAGCAAGTTGAACTGTCCAAACCGGAAGTTGGTTCATCGAAGAACATAATCGGTGGGTTATTCACCAATTCGAGGGCAATCGAGAGACGCTTCTGCTGTCCTCCGGAGAGATTCCTCGTAAGGGTGGATCGGTGCTCGTCCAAGCCGAGGGTATCCAGAATTTCCTTGATCTGGGGGAAAAGCAAAATAAGCAATGTAAATAATTGAGCAAAACTAGATCTCCACTAGCGTAACAAAATTCCATCAGCATGCACCGCAACTATAAATCTAGAGTTTTTTTTAGCATACTGTGCTGAACTGAATGTAAAAATTTCTGTAACCCACAAACCGAAACAGCAAAACACAAGACACTTTGAAAACAAAATCAATGACATTCACATTAAATGCTGAGAACCAAGTTCGTGATGCCAAAAAACATAATGCGACATAAAACACATAAAACCCCATACTTATAAACATAACAACTAACAACTATATTGATCTTCGTAAAATAAGGTGAATTTTCCCAATGTTGGATTGGAGAGCTTTTAATATCTTTTTGATTGTGATGCTAAACTCATTTTGCAAAAGTGTCATATTCTTTAAAATACCATAGTTTCAAACGTTCGATTCTCTTAAACTTTGCAAATCTTTCAAAAATCCTGGACTTCGAAAAATGTTGGAAATTGTGAGTGATTTTGTTTTTCTCACAATCGCGCATATTTCTCCTTCTAATTATTTGTTTTTTTTTTAATTGTTTTTTTTTCTGTGTCCAGCGTATCGAGAAAATGTCATGTTTAAAATCTCACAAGCCCCAGTCCCAGAATGTTGAAAATAAAATAATCATGTCCCAAAATCTTGAAGATTCGGTCAACCGCTAATTCCACTTGCAACAAAATTGTTAAGGTGATTCAAAAATAAAAAATAAACTTATAACTAAATCTGAATTAGCTTAACAATTTCATTGTAAATGTTCAAAGCTTTCCTGGAATTCTCTTCGCATACCCCGTCGAATTATCTGAGTCAGAACTACCATAGAATTCTATACATAAATGCTACAACTAGTACTATTATTCTTTAGGAATTCTCCTCAGCATTCCCTACACACTAAGATTATTTTACCGAAATCTGTTAAATTTTACCGAAATCTCAACATCTGAACGTTCGGTAAACAGTTCGGTGATTTTTCACAGATTTCCTGTGATTTTTCACAGATATTCGTTGAAAAATCACAGGAAATCTGTGAAAAATCACCGAACTGCTTACCAAACTATTACTGTGTATAGCCAATAGGAAGCGAGAAAATATGCTACCGGCGGAGCTGGTTGTCTATATAACAGGTAGCTAACTGCGCCTTCGCATTAGTTGCGATTCACCCGTTCAACGGTAAACAACCAGGAGGCATGACCAGGTCGTGGCAAGGGTGGCAAAGGATTTGGTAAAGGAGTCGCCAAGTGTCATCGTGTGATAACATCCAGGGCCTGCCATTCGTCGTCTGGCTCGACGTGGTGGTGTCAAGCTCATCTCCGGTCTGATGTACGAGGAAACCCTAGGTGTACTGAAGGTGTGCCGAAAAAATGTGATCCGTGATTCCGTCACTGAATACGCAGCTGCCTTCACGTCATCATCATCTTCCAAAGGCTTTAAGCCCCTTTCAGGGCCACCAACATTTTCCAAAAGAGTTAATTTTCTGAATATGTCCCAACTAAAATTCATATCAAAAGGTTCTTTTCAGGGCAATCATAGTCATATTAACAAGTATAAACAGAGAGAACCCCGTTAAAATTCCTATTCCTACACAAAACACAAGCTCCTGCTGCAGTTGATAAAAATATTTATTATATCATACCGCGTAGTCCGTTCAACCCCTTGTAGTTTTTACACTGCCATACTATAACGAAACTTTCAGCTCCTCAGTTATCGTATAAAATGCCCATTTTAAGTATGATATTTGACTTTAAGCATCTCCAACTACATAAATCATTACCATGAAGCAGTAAAAACATTACTTTTTAAAGCACTTAATATGTTCTCCAAAAAAATAAATGTTCTCCATCAAATAATATGCTCCTTAGAGTTCCTGTTTGCATATTCAGATTTCCTTAGCATTGTTATCGAAATTCTCTTGCAAATAAAGTCAGGAGTTCTTTGGAGCTCTTGTCTGACCTTTCTTGGAATAGTGGTCAGAAATTACTGAGAACTGTTAATTGAATTGTCTGCAGAGCTCCTATTGCATCTTGCTCCGAATTTCCTTTGGAATACTTCTGGGCTTCTACTTACAATCAATGGAATTCTCCAAAGAAGTCACCTGAAGTTCATTTCACAATGTATTGAATACTTTTCAAAATTACTAAATTTTACAATAAAAAACTTCCAAATTCACATCGAAAATCCATAAGAATACTTTTCAGATTCCCCTAGGAGATCTTTCCTGTTTAGCTTTGAAATTACGTCCATTGATTAATTGTCAATGAAATTTATGTCATTAAGAAATTGCTAGCACAAACCTCTATGAATTCGCCCCTTTGCCTTGTCACTCTTGGCGGGGGTTGTTTTCGCCACCCCTCACTATGTTCCAAACACATGCTTTTTATCCTAGTCTTGTAGCGGCGCTGGTGGTGTAGTGGTAAGCGTGATTGCCTCTCACCCCAAAAGGCCTGGGTTCAATCCCAGTCGGTGCCACCGGGATTTTCTGAGGCATAAGATCTATGATCACGCCTTCCGGGGGAAGTAAAGCCGTTGGTCCCCGGTCTATGAGTTGATGGGTCGATAGACAGGCTCCACGTATGGGAGCTGCCTCCTTGGCGTCAGTAACATTAGTACTAAGTACGGAAAACAAATCAAGGGGGAAAAAACCTAGTCTTGAAATTTAAATGTTCAAAATATCATCATATCATTTCAGGCGTAACATTTGATAACGGCACAAAAGCTTTTGTAAACAAAAGTTGTAAGGCCCCTTATACGCGAACCGAAGAGTGCCCACGAAAAACCAACAACATCATCGGGTGGGGTAAATTTTAACCTCTACAATAATTGTATTGTTGTGCGTGGGTGTACTTCGGTTCGCTTGTAAAGGGCCTTACAACTTTTATTTACAAAAGTTTTTGTGCCGTTATCAAATGTTACGCCTGATTTGACGATTTTATAATTCCGTAAAACATTGTTTATAGCGGAATAGGTGAAAGCAACCTTAGCTGGCATTAGTGGAACTAATTTACTCTTAACCAATTTTTTTCTGGTAAATGCAATTCGGGTGAATGTAATTCGGCCTTGAAATCGGGCTAGAATCCAGCTAATGCGGAAAACATAGCAGTTACATTACATGCAGAGGTGTAAACAGCGTCATTAGAGTGGGTTAAGCTTGTATGGCAGACCACAACTCCCTGCAATAGGGTAGCTTTATTTATTTAGGCATATGTTTTCCCATGAGCCAGATGATTATTGGGGCTTATTTAGAAGCATATAGCAAATTAAGCTTTTGTTGTTACCATTTAAAGGTGGTGCAAGTCCGAAATATTGAATTTTTAAAAAAACGTGATTTTGCGACACTATAGGGTGAAAATTTCGTCCATTTTGCCATACTCATTCTTGAAATATATGGCATAGCGATGAACACAAATAATGACTTACGCTTACATATTGATCTACATATCAAAATCAGCATCCTTGCGGTGCTAGATGCAGCGTGTGTATGAAAGTAAGAGTGAACAGATAAAGAGACAGGATGAGAGATACGGAAAACGAGTCACTGAAAGAGGAGAAAAGGATAAATATTATTACAGTAAACTCTTTCTAAATCGGCATTTAAGGGATCAACAGGTTCGAGTATTTAAATATTGTAAATTTGTAAGGAAATGTGGTCAAAATAGCCAGGGTAGCCACCGAGTAATAGCGAAATTTTGGGTTCGTTGGCTAGTTCATCTCGTGGCAGATTTGACTGTATTTTTTTTTATTAAGGTCGTGAATATCGTAGTTTCTACTCCGTTTCTGATCAGAACAAGTGGAACTGCACAGAGAACCATATACAGGGTGCGTGACGAATTTTTGCAGTAAATGGCATATTTGAGAAAAAATACACCAGTTAGTTATTCTAGCAATGAATTTTGTGCGCTTTATTTTCTTTCGCAACATATGAAAGTTGTAAGTAAATTTATTCAAAAAAATTGCCTTCCCTTTCGACGACTGTAGTTAGACGCTTCCGGAAACTGCAGTATGCACGTTTTAAAATGTTTCGATCCATAAATGTCATCACTGCCTTGATTTTAGCTTTTAGCGACTTAAGTGTGGTGTGAGGGGTTCTATTGGTATCCCGTTGGACGACGCCCTATACAAAATAATCCAACGGATTGATATCGGGACTGCTTGGGGGCCAAATTTCTTCCTCCCAAATTTACGAAATATTTTCCGTAAGCCATTTCTGTGCTTTATTAGCAGTATGAGCAGGTCTTATCACTTTCCCAAGCCTTTTTTAATATTATACACTGTTCTTTCATACACATTTACCGACCGAATTATTTCTTTCATGCATACTCCGGCGCGCAACAAAGCGACAACGGCTGACAGATTGCTCTCTTGTTTCGACATCTTTACGTTTACTCAACATTGTTTGTTTAAATCTTACACCTAACAGTATAAGCTATCCAGTGCTGCCAAATATATCTAAATCATGATGCACAAGCATGAGAAATTACTGTTTGAAATTTACTGCAAAAATTCGTCACGTACCCTGTACATCGATAGCGATTGAAATTAGCTTAACCATCTTCAATGTGTAAGTCCAGCTATTTAGCTATTTATAGATCAGAACCGGCCACATCTCCACGATTTTTTGAGAAGGCAAAGGATGATTAGTATGACAACTGTTGTTATAAAGACTGTGTTTATCTCTGTGTCTCTACGATTGCAATTGGAAGGGGAGGAAGTTTTGTTAGTGTGGGTCTGGTTATTTTTGATCTGGATTCATTTAATAATTTAAATCTAATGGAGATAGATAATAAGACATACTGACAAATACGAGGAAAGGGACGGGTCTGGGATTAAACTCCCAACCTTGTGCTCTGTAATCAGAAACGGTAACTTCTAAGTTACTCAGCCTCGTCATTATATTTGAAATGTGATCTGATTTCAACGCAAAGTATCACGAATACATATCAACAACTATTTGTTTCGTCAAGTTAGGAAGGTTTTTTTTTCGTAATGTACATTATAGCTAAGTTCTGGAAATTATCTTTTTTCCTGATGTCTCTTTGAGCATGATCGATCGTATACGACCTCCAAAAAAGCTATCTACATTGTTGGTTTCATGATTATAGAATTCATGACACTGGATAGTTTACACTAGAAAAACTACTATGTATACAAAGTAACATAAAACAAATGTTCCCAGTTCACATGTACTCATTATCATTAAGGTGCTCGTCATATCTCTGAGTGGTTCATCACCTTTTACTGATTACTATTCGCCAAGCTTTAAAGTGTTACCTTCCACCTTCCATATTGTGAATATTTTCATTGATAATGCAAGCCCAATTAGCACTTCACTTAACCCTTTGTCTGTACCTCGAAAATAAAGCTAAGTTCTTTGCGTAAACCATTTAAAAGTGTATTCAATAAAATTCGAAAATATTTCTACATTAAATAAAAAAACATCGTTGATAATTAATAATCAAGATTGCAAAAATTGCCTGGGGTCATAATGAGTCTCGCTTACCACTACACCACCGGTGCCGCTCATTTTTAAATTTTTGAAAAGCAAAAGAATAGTTCGATCCGTTTCCCATATATGGGATACATTTTCCATACACACTTATCCTGCAAATCCAGATCGTAGCCAAACTCGATCAACTTTGCACAGGTGTTCGGGACCTTAAGACAGATCAAAATAGCTGTGAAGATCAAGGGATTGTAAAGTTGACCCACCCTAAGGGTCAAACTTCTTTTTCTACATGCCGAATTCTTTTGATATAGAGGAAATCCCAACAAACAATTTTAGCTGCAGATTAGCTTATATAGCCAAAATTTGCCTTATGCAGCTAATTTTTGCCTGTATAAGTTAACCTGCAGCTAAAATTGTTTGTTAGGATGGCTCTAATATTGGCCTATGGATCTAAGATTGGGCCCATCGCTATAAATCTGCTATTTATCATTTTTATCTAGATGAACGCGTCATTGGGACGGTACTAATGGATATTTTTGGTCGCTATCGAAAATTTATTCGTTTGCTGAATTTATGTAGGGGTCCAAATTAGGGGCATTTAGGCTGACATTACATCCATTTCTCCTACCTATTAATAACCTTTCATTTAATATTTCTATTTGCACCACTTTCCATATCCTCACCCCTTCACTTACCACGTGCATCTTCTCACTTTTCTCCACTTTCTGGCTCAACTTGAGACTCGCGGCCACATGCATCGCCTCCTCGACTGTCAGATTGGCATGCAACTGATTGTCCTGCATGATGTAGGCCGACAGCTTGCGGAACTGGCTGAGGTTACGTTCCTTGCCATTCATCGTGATCGATCCTTCGATGTTTGTGGTCCTACGGAAATGCACAGAAAGTGAATGCTGTTGAAAGCGAAAACCTTTCTTTTTTTTTTGATTGATTGGTTCGTACTTGTATCCAGTGAGAATGTTCAGCAGCGTACTCTTTCCTGCTCCTGAAGGTCCCATGATGGCCGTCAGCTCGCCTGAGCGAAGCCTGCCGCTGACCTCTTTCAGAATGGTTTTCACATCTGAAAAGAACGTTGCGAAAAAAAGACGAGATTGTAATTTATCTTTGCGAACAACGGAATAATAAAACGAGCATTTCCTGCGAAGGTCACGGTCAGTCACGTGTCTCATACTTGCATTATTATAAATGCCGCCATGACGAGGCTTCGCTTGTGAATCAACCCTTAATTAAGCTGCGAGAGAACAACTCTACGTTGATTCGATCCGGGAGGAGAAATCGATTGCGTGTTGCGATAGTTATTCCAGTGGGAAATTAATGAGAAATACAAACTGCAGTATTTACCCTGTCATAACAATGAACTTCGTCATTTCTACAGGCGATTGACGGGTAAAATGAAGCATCGCAGATAACAAATCCCATACGAAATGCAATGAAGCTTGAGCAATTACCCAACGGATTCGTCTTAATGGGCAAACATTTCTACACATAGGAAGTAAAATAAGTTTTAAGTATTCACTTCGCATAGAAATCTTAACAACTAGCCTAAAGTGCGTGCATCAATCGGCCAATTAGCCTTATTTGTGTTAGTTTTTTTTCTTTTGCCTAACAAGAGAAACGAATTTTCTAGCGAGCAACCTGTTTGCCATTTTTTGTTTCTTTCTTCTCTGCCAAGGCCGTGGTCGTGATAAATTTATATGCATGACCGCAAACAGGTCTGTCGGTACCAGCCAGCAGCCGAGCCGGCATGGTAAAACAATGATTGGAACGTTTTTTTTACTTCAGAGAATAACTTATAGCAGAATATATCTACCACCAACCGCTCAAGCGCCGGCTTCAATAGAAGCACGTGAACTCGACTTTATTTGATGTTTGATGTATGATATTATCATTGAATTAGTTTACAAACAGGGACATCAATAATGTTTAAAATGTTAGCTACACAAAGCTACACAATTTATCTTTTGCATAAGATTGCATGCAATTTGATTTACATTTGAAAAAGCAAGAATAAACTTTACCTAGCCAAGTTTTCATTTGCTTTATACATTATTAAAAAAATCATTTAAATTTGCCAATATTAACGACCTATCATGCCAATAAAATAATTATGCGCCTAGCCACCAAGTCCAACCAAGTCAAGTAAGTATAGTAGTTGATAGATTTAAAACCATACTTTGTACACTTTGGTTACAAACGATTTTTCCAAAACTGATTCCAGAACTCAAACCTATGTTTTTGATTTTGCATCATCCTTTTGCTGCCTTTTTCATATCAGCTGATGGCTTCAACCAGTGCAACCAGAATGATATATATGTTTTCTATAGAACATTTGCAGATTCATTAGCTTCATTTTTTTTCCTTTAAAAACAAAATATGATTTTTTTAAAAGATTTATTACTTATGGTTTCTATATTGAACACAGTTTAAGCACAGTTTAGAGACGCATTTCGAATCGAAGCTGGCAACACCCTCTCAGATTTTAATGAAATTTTCTAAAAGTGTAGACTTTGACTAAATTAGCACTTTTGCATAAACTTAGTTTTTCCAAAATTTATCTAAACTAACATTTGAGAAGGGCCAAACTTTTTCTGCATTTTTTTTCCAAAAAAAAATATTATGGAAAAATGACAACTCCTGCAAAAATGTGTTGTATGGATGACTTTTAGGAAATTGTCTAAGTTTTTGAAAAAAAGTACTGAAAAAAATCGAGTTTTAAAATTTAAATTCGAATAAAAAAATGCCCATGTTTGATTTGGATGAAACTTTGCCTCAAGATAGGTAATTATGTTTACTACCATCCATCCATACATCACAAGATGGGCACTTTCAAAGAAAAAAAAAGTTTTTCTTACAAAAACTTTTTCATGTCTGAACTGATTTTTCTTTAATTTGCCATTTTCACACAAAACTATATCTGTGAAGTTCAAAATCATCTTAGAACTCAATGAAGCTCAATTTGTGATTAAATTTTGTCTAATCAGCAACTAATCACTTGGATTAATCGAGAATTCCATATGAAAAGGGCTTATATCATTAGAAAATAATATAATTGATTACATTGTCTACTACTGAGGCAAAACCCGATACTTCTATAGCAACTTAGCATTCTTAGATAAAATTATCCCTAAAGAATTAGGTATGAATAAAATTTAAATTGAGATCTTCTTTCGTATCAACAACGATTTGGGAAGTCAACCTATCGCATCATAATTCTATGTGCCCTTCTGTTGTTTATACCTAAACCATTAACATTATATACCTACCACTTCATTCTACCTATGAGCACTATAAAACTAAGGTTGATTTCATACAAACAGCAGTCAATCTGATAACGAAAGTTGTTAAGACAAGTTTTTGTAAATTGGGAGATGAACCAGCCTGTGGCTGAAAATCTCGATAATAAAGAAATAAAAAAAAAAGTTATAGTAAAATTATTATCATGGACCAAAGTAGTAAATTAAGGCTCAAAGGATTGAAATATTATGCAAATATAAATAATCCGAGATGCTACCGAAATAAGTTACGGGCCATATCGTCAACGATGGTAGAAAAAATATATTCTCTAGGATATAACCACAAAATTGATGAAACGATGAGCATTTGTGAGTCTTGCCGTAGCGTGATATCTCATAATAGAAGTCCAGTTATGAAAAAACGCCGATCAGTTGGAAATGAAGTAAATATTCAACCGTCAACTAGTAGGCAGCAGCATAGTGATGATCCAGGTTCATCTACGAATAGCCATCAATCCGTAAATGAGCTAGGTAAGAACAGTCATCTTGATGATTCTATCAATTTTTAACTGCAATCTCCTAATTGCACTTATTATTATTTTTAAATTTTCTTCGTTCCTTCAGATACGGTACCATCGGTTCCATCATTGAAGGCAGTTCCATCAGCAGATGATCTGCAATGCCCATACAATGTTGAGAAGTTTAATAGCTTTGTGGAAACGTTAAATTTATCTCCAGTTTCATCGAGGAACATGAGGAGCATGGATTATTGTTCAAAAAAATCTCTAGTAATTTCAAAAGCAGTGCGCAAAAATATATTTGTCCTAAATACAGCAGACACTAGCAAAGTCGAGGCATACAAAGAAATGATTGTGCAGCTAAAAGAGAAGTTTAATTCGCCTACAGCTTACAGAAAAGATCAGATAACAGTATTATCAGTATTGCCAAAGTCTTGGTCCGTGAATAAAGTCGTAGCAGAATTCAACGCACCAACGTACATGGTGAGGCAGGTGAAGAGCCTTGTTAATGAGCAGGGTATTCTAAGCACACCCAACAAAAGAAGTGAGCATGGGATCAACGATGATACAAAAAACTAGTTAGGGAATTTTTTGATGACAATGATATTAGTAGACCTATGCCCGGAACAAATGATTTTATTTCCGAGTTTAGAAATGGACGAAAAGAACACGTTCAAAAACGCCTGTTAATGATGTCCCTCAAAGAAGCGTACATGATGTTTGTTTATAAATATTAAGAAATTAATATTGGTTTCACTGTATTTAGACAATTGCTACCAAAACATTGCATTTTGCTTGATTCTACTGGTATACATAATGTATGTATTTGTACAATTACTGAAAATGAAAAATTAATGATCACAGTTTAAAAATTATGTCACAAGATGCAATAATAGAAAAAATGCTGTGTAATATTTCAACTAGAACATTTGATTGCTTTTTCCGTGCTTGCAAAAAGTGTGCTTTCTAGCAATTTGTGATTTTTCTGAAAATTATTCATTCATTATCCAAAACGCTGCACAACAATATCACTGGAATAGTTCTCAAGCAACAATACATCCATTTGAAGTTTATTTTAAGAAAGACAATAAACTTGAAAATGTTAGCTTCATTTATCAGAAGTAATGACTCACGATACAGTTGCAGTTCAGTTGTTCATCTAAAAAATGATAGATTTTATTAAGCAATCGATAGATTTTTCTAAAATTACTTTTATGTCAGATGGGGCAGCATCACAATACAAAAAAAAACTGTGCTAGTCTGTTTTAAAATTTAAATTCGAATAAAAAAATGCCCATGTTTGATTTGGATGAAACTTTGCCTCAAGATAGGTAATTATGTTTACTACCATCCATCCATACATCACAAGATGGGCACTTTCAAAGAAAAAAAAAGTTTTTCTTACAAAAACTTTTTCATGTCTGAACTGATTTTTCTTTAATTTGCCATTTTCACACAAAACTATATCTGTGAAGTTCAAAATCATCTTAGAACTCAATGAAGCTCAATTTGTGATTAAATTTTGTCTAATCAGCAACTAATCACTTGGATTAATCGAGAATTCCATATGAAAAGGGCTTATATCATTAGAAAATAATATAATTGATTACATTGTCTACTACTGAGGCAAAACCCGATACTTCTATAGCAACTTAGCATTCTTAGATAAAATTATCCCTAAAGAATTAGGTATGAATAAAATTTAAATTGAGATCTTCTTTCGTATCAACAACGATTTGGGAAGTCAACCTATCGCATCATAATTCTATGTGCCCTTCTGTTGTTTATACCTAAACCATTAACATTATATACCTACCACTTCATTCTACCTATGAGCACTATAAAACTAAGGTTGATTTCATACAAACAGCAGTCAATCTGATAACGAAAGTTGTTAAGACAAGTTTTTGTAAATTGGGAGATGAACCAGCCTGTGGCTGAAAATCTCGATAATAAAGAAATAAAAAAAAAAGTTATAGTAAAATTATTATCATGGACCAAAGTAGTAAATTAAGGCTCAAAGGATTGAAATATTATGCAAATATAAATAATCCGAGATGCTACCGAAATAAGTTACGGGCCATATCGTCAACGATGGTAGAAAAAATATATTCTCTAGGATATAACCACAAAATTGATGAAACGATGAGCATTTGTGAGTCTTGCCGTAGCGTGATATCTCATAATAGAAGTCCAGTTATGAAAAAACGCCGATCAGTTGGAAATGAAGTAAATATTCAACCGTCAACTAGTAGGCAGCAGCATAGTGATGATCCAGGTTCATCTACGAATAGCCATCAATCCGTAAA